TCTATAATCATAAACTGTGCACAACTGTGTTATACAGATTTCTTAATTCAAAACAAATTTTAAGAATCTGGGATTTCTTTCCTATTTCCTTTCAAGCATTATTTTGACCGCTTTATCACAAACATTTTTAGATTAAGTGAAATATAACGTCCCAGGTTTCATGAACTCAGGCATGAGCTTATAAACGAGTGCTGTTTGGACACTAAAAGCACGTGTACGCTTGTTCCACCGCCCCAGTGGTCAGACCTGACAGGAAGAGAAGTGCTGAGTGATGGGTCAGGGGTTCAGAGGTGAACATCTGTGTAAGGAAGGAAAGCTTGGGCCCCTGCCGTGAGCGGCCTGTGATCTGTCTCCACAGCTGTGTGATTCCAAAAGTCATGTGAGTGTGAGCAAACACACCTGCTGAAAGGCATGCTGGGAGTGTAGCTTAGTCCTGTCCACTCACACTGGGAGATTTAAGTTGCGTCTGCCAACTCAAATACACTAGGTGGAACGTCTGGCAATCTAAGGACAGTATCTGGGTTTCAAATCTACAACCTGCCACATTACCCTCGGTCAACAGAGCGGTGGGAGTACGACTGCTACAGTTATACAGAGTGCAGAGCTACACTATAAGTTTAAGGTCCTGTGTGGTTTAGAGGAATCTGTTGGCAGAAATGGTGTATAATATACATGACCATGTTTTTATATGATTTTGTTTCCTTAGAATGAACCGTTTATATCTGTACACTGAGTTGGATCTTCCAAACATTGGTTCTAGATTGGGCCATTTGCATTTTTTGCATTGGCCACCACAGTTCTCACACACGCTTGGCACACAGGAGAAGTTTCAGTTCTGCAATCTCACCACTTGATGACACTAAATCCTACACATTGGACCTTTAAAATCATCCGACAGCCATGTGGTAAATTATTCAAAAAGTGATTTACTGTATTCTTGAGGCCATTTTCTAAGTTCTTCAGAGAGAGACTAACAAAGTAGGAGCCAGACAAACAGCAAACTATTATATTTTCCATTCCCTGAGGCCTGAAATAAAAAGTTATGTAATCAAACATGCAGCAGAAAGCACTAAAACTTAGTACTTATTGAAATCACAAGTAGCAATCCCATATTTAGAAAACCAGCAAAAATATGATATTTTTACATCATGAAAAAACTAATTTCAACTAATCAGTCTTGTTATCAATTACATATCTGTAAATTAAATAACAGAGTAATCTTTGAAGTCATTGAAGTCTTTGGACTGTGGGAGGAACTCAGGGCTCAGGGAGAACATGCACACTCTGCACAGAAGGACTCCCCCACCCCATTGTTCGATCCAGGAGCCCTCTTGCTGTGAGGACCACAGTGCCGCCTAAAATACTAGCATCAAAATATATCATTACATCTATACTTGATAGACATAGATATTATTTACCAGGCTGGTTACTACAATCACACTACAACTCACTGTGTCTAAATGCCCTGACGATGAAACTTAATGATTTGGTATATTACAAAATAATGCAAATAATGTTCAGGAGAAGAAATGTCTAATGTACAAAAAACTAAAAGACATTAAAAAATTAGATGTTTTTCTATTGCTGGGGTTTAATAGGGGAACACTGGCAATATAAAGTTTTAATTGTGTAATTTATTGTTGTTGGGTTTTTTTTTAAAGAATGGTTTACACAACTAATTTTGAAGGTTACAAGTGTGAATATCTTATTTCTTTTTTATTTTATTTTTTCTTGGGAGGCAGCTTAAATTGATAATACTGCAGGACGGGTGAGCTTTTGCTTCTGGCTGAGCCTTTTCAGTCACCATACTGTTCTTTTATACTATTATACTGTTTGTATTGTTAATATTTACTGTATTATGTGTGATGACTGAATGAAATATTAAACACTATTCAAAGTCAAGTCTTTATTATGTAGAATGGCACAACCTAACACATTTTAGTTTTGGGTAAATGTTATTAAAACTGTTTGAGATTAATTATTGTCCTTCATCTTATTATTATTATTTGTTTTATTCTAACAACATGCACATCTCTGCTACAAATGAACAGTTGTTTTTTCTAGAACTTTCCTTTTTTCTACAATTACAGTGAGAAGTGATGGAAGTGAAAGCTTGTGAAGGTGGAGCTCATTTGTTGCTTTACTGTGTGGTAGCTTGTGAATTTCCCTCAGTGATCAGTAAAGTCTCATCATATCTTGACCTATGATAATAGATCATAATTTATTTGTGCATTATACTATGTATTAAAAATCCAAAAGTGCAATGTAAGTAGTAACTAAAGTAATAAAATAAATGTACTGGAGTAAAACAAGAAATATTCCCTCTGACATGTATTGAGGTAGAAGTATAAAGAAACAGAAAATAAAAATACTCAAGTAATATACAAGTAACTTAAAAATGTATTCAAGCACTGTTTGTCACAAACTGGCTGATTGTTTTTTTTATGTGAAATTCTGCATGTTGCTGTCTTGGCCAGGACTTCCTTTATAAAGAGACTGCATGGGACTTTTCCAGGTTAAATAAAAGCTGAATAACATAGAAATATATTTAAAAAAAATAATAAAAAAAAGCACAGTGCTTGAGTAAATGTACATAGTTGAAAAAAAGAAAGGGACATCAAAACACATCAGCAGTCGGGGTAATTCCTCTCTTTGAAAACAGGGGAATTTTTCATAAGATGTGATAATGCAGTTTTTAAACCAAAGCCTTCTGGGCTCAGCTTGAGTTTATGCAAACTTAACAGCACCAGCAGATTTTATATCCCTGATATCTCTGGATTTCTATGTGATTTTTTATTATCTGTAAACCTAAATCAACATCTGTGGAGGGCGAAATGGAGCTGTAGTTTTCTGGACACTGCCCTGCTGTCGCCATCTAGTGACCAAAGTAGGAACTATTATCAGTAAAAAAAAAAACATGTCTAGTGCTTCCTTCTGTTGCAGGATCCTTAAAGGAGCTGTACCAGTTTAATGCAGCAATGTTTAATATATTAAAGGGAAACTTCAGATCTTTTGAAGTGGGGCTATATTAGGTGCTTATCTACAGTCAGTACATTACATACAGTAAGATGTCAGTCGGCATACCCCCCGTTTAGAGATCAGGCAGGAGTACCACCCCAGAAGCATCTATTTATCACTGTTGCAATTCAGACTGTTATTGGTGTTTTAATAGTTTGTTTCTAAAAGTATCCTATCTTCTACAAATCAGACAAATATGACCCAAACTATGCTGAGCAGGAGACACATGTCAGAGGAAAATTCCAAAATCAAATTCTGCTGACTAACATGACATGACGTAATAATAGGAAAGGTTACGCAATCACAGGGGGTTCCCAGTTCCAAAATACTCTTCATGGCAAATCAGCTGCTGGGACACAGCTGCCAACGAACCGATCTGACGGCAGCAATCAGCTGCAAGTGTATCAGCTGAGCAGATCAGCTGATCTCAGGGCTGCTGCTAATGATGATGATGATGATGGATATCTCACAATTACTTTAGGTATTTCCACAAATTGTTATTGTATGGGTGGGTGGATTACTGCACGCAATGTTTCTGTAAGTCATGAATAATATACTTGGAAGACTACTGTGAAGAAACCCATGATATTTTCTAGTAAGCTTACCGAAATCCACCTGATCCAAGTCCCACAGGTTGTGAGTTGACCAGTGCATCACGAGTTAATTTACACAGAAGGTGTTCTTTTGCCTTTATAAGTATTAATACTGACAAATAATACACTAAAGTAATTAGGTTGGGAACCCGTGCATACTTCTCCTTGCTTAGTGTTTTTGAAATATGACCAATGCTTTTTGATGGTGGCTGAAGTTACCTTAAAAACAAGTCAGTTTCCCAGGATTCCTGTAGCCTCCTGCTCCTGGGACAGAATATCAATCCCTAGTACAAAACAAGTTTTTTACTATGAATGTCAACTGCTGAAGATGGGGAATCATTCTAGATAGAGACTGATTACAGTCCTGAATCCATTTATAATTTGTAATGACTAATCATTTATTGATTTTTACCATTATCCTGTTACGCTGTCATGTGTAATGTTACGTCACTTCATAATAACTTTTGCTGATAGCATTAGCCTGTCTCCGCTCGGTCTGTCGCAGGTAGCCTTACTCTTGGAACCAAATGTACTTTGGATCCTCTCTCCTCTTTGAGATGCAGTCGTCCTGGTCAAAATGGTCACTGCAGACCCGATGGACTGCAAGGCACGATGTATCCACAGGAGTGTTCGGATCCATCTGCAGCACAACTAGCCACAACTTTAGCGTGTCCATATCCCAAAAAAGGCAGTCTGTGAAAGCTGCGTGAAGTTCGGCCTGTCGTCTTGTTGGCACAATTCAGGTAAGAGCAAACCCAAACCATTGTTTTTTTATCTTTTTCCAATAGTTTAGATAACACTAAACCACTTTTTCTTTGTTCCAGCACAAGCTATACCAGCTACTGCTAACTTTCCCTCCAACTCACGTTTTTCAAGGCTGTCCTCCAGCAGCAAATCTCGTCTCATGAGATTTCGAAGTGTCACCAGATGGGACAATAACAAAAGGGCCGGACAAGTGAAAGGTAAAGAGAAGCTCCAGACACTAATAATAACAACCTGAGCCAATCTGCAGTAAAAACGACTACTTTTGATGGACATACAGTGACGGTGTTCAGTTGCCCCATGTGCTTCCATTACGGTCAGTGCGCGGCTGCTCGGCTAATGCTGTCAAGCTCAATGGTGCACCAATTTCAGAAAATGTTGTTTACATCACTCTCCTTCACATATTCACATAGGGGCATAGGGTCTAGGTTGAAAAATGCTGAAGTTATCCTTTAATGACCTTTGCAGAGGTGACAGACCAAAGCGCTCCCTGTCGTCCATTAATTCCTGATAATAGAGGCCTCATTGGGCACTGTCCCCTATATGTTTAAAAATATTGGGCAGTTAAAAAAACATTAATTTATTTGAAGCAGCACTGATATTATATTTCACAAAAACTCAGATATACAGCATTTTAAGTTCATTCCATTTAATCAAAGCCACAAAGGGCTGATTTTATTTTCCTTTGACCTGGATAATCAAGAATAGATGACTGCTCACTCACGAGCCTCTCAGGCTAAACTGTAAAGTTAAAGCCACAGCAGGCCTTGCATCTGTTGAATATATTCTTCAGTTTTAGATTTCTCCCCACTCAGTTCAGAAGCCTCTGTGTTGTCGTGTTGTTGATGGCGCATGATGTCTTTGGCGATCCGCATGCTGGCAGCCTGTCCACCTGCCAGGTTTACTGCATGAGGTCCAACCTGTGTGCAGGGAAAATGACATATTATTGTAAAGAACTACTTTTGGACATCAAAATAATAGAAATAGTAGACAACCTACCCGTAGAGCGGTGTACTGCCCCATCAGGTAGAGCGGGCACCCTTCTGCCCACTGTAAGCTTTCTGATATGCATGGCCAGCCATCTAATACCTTGATGGAGGGACACATGTAATGAATCCGTCAGGACTGCCATGTTCAGGTTACAAATATGACACATGCTATTATTATTTGTATGTTTAACCCACCTGAATGGGGAATTCCTTCATCACCTCAGAAAGTAAAGGGTCCTGTTTGACATCAAGTTTGCAGCCGGTGGCGAGCCAGATCATGTCTCCAGTCCAGTGGTCCCCAGTGCTGAGGGAGAGGCTCCAGGCCTGACTCCTGTAGCACCAGCTGGCTTCACTCACCTGCATGAGATTCAGACAGAAACTTCACCACGTACCTCACCTTATCTCATTTCACTCTCAAAAGCTAGCCTCCAGCCTAGATGCACATGTACCTGACAGTATGTCCTCACGTCCACCTGTCCATTCAGAATGAACGGCTGCAGGTGGATATAGGCCTCTGGTGTTACGGCTCCTCCTTTCCTCGCCTGGCGAATCATAGCCAGCCGTTTGTGGAGACTACGTTCATTGTAGAACTGCCGCAGGTAGGCTTGGCCATCCATCTTGATGCCGTGCTCCACGTGAGAGTAACGGCCCACCAAGCTCTCCACGTCGCCCACATCAAACTGCTTTAACTGCGGAGCAAACAAAGAAGACTGATCCAGGTGCTGGAGGTAGACAGGTGTATATCTCCAGTAATGGTTGGTCTTCATGCAGTGTCACACTGTCACTAGACCTGAAGGTGCTTCCTCATGACCCATGTGACATGGCTGGCACCTTGCTGCAGGGCAATTGAGACGACATGAGCGCTGGTCAGACCTCCACCAACTACCAATACTCTCTGCCCTGCCTCACACACTACACACAGTTCTACACACACATAGGCAGTAGTGGAATAAGAATTTAGATCTTTTACTTAAAGCTGTAGTTGGTAACTTTAATAAAAAATAACTTTTTGTCATATTTGCTGTAACTGTCACTACATCCACACAGTTTTACAAACTCCTCCTCTTTGTAGTGCACAAACTGTGATTGGTTGTTTTAGTTGCGGTGGATTCTATGAGGAGGCAGAGGGACAAATTTTTTTTTCAGATTTTCTGTCTCACTACAAACAGCATAAACTTTGAACACAGGTAAAAAATATAGTTCAGTCAGGACCTCTTTAGTCAAAGAAACTTTATTTCCATTCCCAGTATTATATTTGTGCTGGATTATATTTGAGACTGGATTGTTACTGCTGTGAGTATATAGTGGCAGTTTCAGCAAATATGATGAAAAGTTATTTTTAAGTGTAAGTAGCAATATCACAGTGTTAAAATACTCTGTTAACAAGTAAAAAGTCCTGCATTCAAAACTTTACTTAAAGATGTACTATGCAGGATTTTCCTGAAGAACAATGCATAGACTCATACAGAAGTAATTCCTCTGAATCATCACTTATGATGCGCCTATAGTTTGTGAATTTTTCTGTAGAGACTCTGCCATCTGTCTGTATTTTCTCATTTTCTTCTTATTTTCAGTGTTTGGGACGTTACAGGAGTGTACCAACACAGTGCTCAGGTGACGGCGGGTCTTTATAAAAAAAGTAGCAACCAGGTGCCAGACTGTACACAGCAGGAATTTAAGAGACACCGTGCCAAAAAAACGCAAATATAGCTGAGCAAAATGCCAAATGAGAGTGAATTGCGGTTGGCTTTACTTTACCTAACTTTTGCTAGCGAGTGTGCTTATAATCAGTAACAAACAATCCTGCATAGTATAGCTTTAAGTTAAAAGTAGAAAATTATGAGCAACAAAAAGTAGGAAAAGTAAAAAGTACTCATTCGGTAGCAGAACGGCCCCTGTCATTGTAATGTTACTGCATCATCTGTTATATTATCTGATTATTATTACTATAACATTATTATTAATGCTTTGTAGCTGGTCAAGGTGGAGCTTTAACTACCATACTTTATAAACTTTGATATTTGGTAATTAAGGCTTTATCCAGTGTCTAAGATTTAGGGGGATTTAGTGGCATCTAACAGTGAGGATTGCAGATTGCAACCAGCTGAAACTTCTCTCAGTTTCAGGAGATTTTTAACATGAGCCGAATTATCTGCAGACGTCTCTTCCTCTCAAAACAGACTGGCCAGGTCATTAAAACAAGTAAAAATACAAAATAAAGCAGTTTCTCATCACAAATCAGTGTTTCTCTGATGCTGTTTGGCACACTGTACATAACCTAGTACCTGCTAATCTTATCTTATCTTTATCTGATAACTTAAGATCCATTCATACATTCAGAGGTTTTTACTGGGAGTTGAATTATCCTCTGAGGTCTCTTCCTCTCCAAAACAAACTGACAACCGAAGAAGCAGTTTCACCAACCAAAAAAAAAAAAAAATGTTTTTCTGATGCTGCTCATCGCGAAGGGGCTGCTGACTATGGTGGCTGATGCAAAAAATGCAAATGGCCCTATTTAGAGCCAGTGTTTGGTTTGAAACATGATGACGCAACATGGTAATCTCAGTAGACAAACACTCGCTCCCTATGTGGATATTTCAAGTTCATTAAAGTAACGAAAACACAATGATTTTTATTTTCAGGTGACAATACACTAAAGAAAACATCCTTATTATATCAGATTTCATTTCTGCCAATATATCAGCCTTAATCTTACACACTGGACCTTTAACAATACATCATTTTAGAAACTCATGATACATTTTACATTTATCTGTTTATCTCTATCTAAAGCTGTCATACCATATTAATGTAGCAGGTAAGTACAAGTATTTTATAATTGTCAAGTAAATTCATTTAGTTACATTCCACCACTATACACAGGCATAAAGAACTGTCAAAAGAAAGTGTTGCAGTGAGGATGGGGCATCAAATCACCACTGACGTCTGCAGAAACATGGAGACCTCAAGTGAAAGCAAAGTATTATTGAATATTCTGGCAAAAGAAAACACAACATTCAGTGTTATACCTGTTATCCTCATAACCCTTGCTGAAACATCATTTCCCTGCCAAGCTACTCTGTCTTATTGTGAAATCACATAACCTCCAAAAGAAATCATTCTTACCTTGAGTGGAGGAAGTCTCTTTCTGAATGTCTTTTAGTTTTTGCCGAGCAGTTGGCAGGTGGTGCATGAGGTGCACTGTGTGTTGCAAGCGCTCGTCTGGGTAGCTCTCTCCAATACCTTTCACCCATGAAGGAATGTTTGCCATCTGGGCACGGGTTGGACCTGTCGCCATAACAACCTGGCGGGCTTTTAGGATGACACCATCTTGAAGTTGGACTTGAAAATATTTTACCCTCTTCCCTTCAGTCACTCTCACGGCCTCATCCACTTTTATCCTGTCAGTCTCTTCCTCCATCTCTTCCTTGTCCTCAGTCACAGGAGTGATGCGCTCCACTGTTCCCTTCGTCAGCACTTTGTCCAGGTTGTATCTGTCCACCTGCGTTTTCAGATTCATCAACTCAACAACTCAGGAAACATGCTCAGATTTAGGCGCTTATGCTGCCTAAAGCCTGAAGCTTGCAAATATTTTTCCATCTACTGTAACTGTCAGTAAATCCAACGAAGACCAGAACCAACAATGTGTTTGTCCATCTCTCAGTACTCTACTCAATACTCATTAGGGCTGGGTCGTTTAAAAGAGTTTTGGAGGCATCTTGACATGCTGAACTGCCAACTCCCTGAAACACACTGTAATCGACTTCTTATCAGACTGTATGGGTTGTATCTGCTGCTGCAGGAGTGTGAGCTCTGCACCGGGGACAGTTGCAAGACTCTGACAGAGAGTCAGAAGACAGGGTTAACTGTTCCTCACATGGCTACTGTTACCTAATGATTATTGGTTGAAGGAGGAGCCGGCATCGAAATCTCCTTGTTGTCACTCTAAATAGCAGCCCACTTCTATATTTTGATAGAGCTGGTTTTCACACCTGATGTGTTCCATACTGGAGTACACATGACCCTTACTTGATACCACCTTTTTAAGTTGATGCAAGCACAGATTGGCGTACTCTGCTTGGGTACAGTAAACTGTGTTAGTGTTCACACTAATCAAAAAGAACTGGACTTGGGTGTCAACTGTACTGGGATCCAGGGCCAGATCTCTGAAATGAAACCCCCTCAGTGTTCGTGTAAATTCGCTGGCACTGTTTAATGGCATGGTGTCAGATGTTAGCTGCTGTGCTAGCTCATGCTAACTGGGCAGATGTAGGGCCAACTGTCTTGCCAGTACTGGGAGGAGAGCAGCTCTGGAGACGGCAGCGACAGAAAGTTTGCTGGGCAATAAGAACTCCAGCTCTAACTCTCATCTTTACAAATGAGCCACAAATATATAAACTATTTCACATCTATGTCTCTCTCTCACACACACACACACACACACACACACACACACACACTATGAGGGGTCAAACGTATCAACACACACACACAGTGCATTCACTGCGTACTTGACACGTGTAAATTGCGTGTGCAACCATCACTGTGTACTTGCTTCGCGTGCACTGCGCGTGCTTTCACTGTGTACTTATTACACATGCAATGCGCGTGCAATGCCTGCACACGCCTAGACGTGTGGTTATTAGACGTGCGTGTGTAGACACATCATGTAATCACAGGGGTCAAAAGTGTCAACTCTTGAAGCAACAATGCTTCGTGTTATGGACGTGTGACACGTAGCATCGCTATGCTAACTCTGCTAATCGGACGTGCGTGCGTAGACACGCAGGTGTAGTGTATGTGTAGCGTTTGTAACACGCTGTGCACGCATACTGATAAGATGTGTGAACGCGTCGTGTGAGTGGAGCGCACAACGCCTGCGCGTCATGTAGCGGGCGTGTGTGTAACACTCGTGTCTCGATAGTAACCCTATGTAAAATGTAGGCGTGCGCTCACGCGGTTTGATTAGATCTGATGTGTCCTAAGTAGGCGCAAGTGACGCGTTGTAGTGTGGTTGGGTGAAACATTTGACCCCTCATACACACACACACACACACACACACACATCATCTTCCATCACTTTAGAGGACATTACATTGACTTATATTCAGTTGTTGCAGACTTAACCCTAACTCTAACAACCTCATCATTTTTATTATGGGAACTTGAAGGCGAGTCCCCACAATTTGAGTGTGTAAACAGATTTCTGTTCTCACAACATGAGTACTGTAATACACACACATACACACACATACAATCACTGTGTCTGACCTGATCTTTAAAGAAATCCACACTGAGTTTGGTTCCTGGCAGACTGAAGGATAAACTCTTCTTCAGTGTTGAGGTGATGTTGAGACGTTTCCTCTCCTTCTGTCCGAGCCTCATGTCATTGAAAAATGCGTTTTCATCCAGAATATAAATCTGATCTGGAAGACTGTGAAGCTCCGCTGAACGATCAGACTTTATAACAAACTCCTGCAGCGCTTTCTGACAAAGAAAAGATACATGTAAGTGCTTATTTACATGAATGTAAAGTGATTTTCCTTGATGTTTGTGTTTATACCTTATTGAGAGGGTCTGTGTGCACCAGTGTGTGTGAGCGCAGATGAGGGATGTTCAGAGCTGTGAACTGGCTCTCCCACAGAGAGGTCCACTCTCCATAGGAGTCTACCACTCGAAGATTCATCGGCTGGCAGTTGACCCTCTTTGATACCATTGACTTTTCTAGTCGCTCCTCCAGTGTCAGGCCTGTGGAGACTAATCACAAACCACATAAAACTGAACTGTGAGGCCACACGAGAAAAAAAGGAAGCAAAATTCTGCTTGGTTGTTGGAAATCACATGAGTCTCAAAATGCAGAAGTATTAGCAGTAACAAAGCGGCATTCATTTATTTGGTGTTTTATATGTAAGGTAGTCTGGTTCCTTGTTTCTCGTTTTTGGTTCCTGATTGCTGAGTCACCACTGAAATCTGACACCGCAGTTCAAATGTAATGAATGAAAGAAGTGAAACTAAACCTAAACTCATTACTGCTGGGATCAAATCAAACGTGTGGCCGGTCAGCCAGATGACAACCAGGACTGATATGTCAGAAGTATTAATAAGTCAAAAAGGATAATTTGAGTGTATTTAAAGTCAGAATTACAACAAACTAATAAAAAAGCAATTACTTACTACATCAAGATAGCAATTGACGTAGCTGGCCACCAACTTCTTTCAGTGTTGATATTTAGTTCACTTTAGGTTGTGACATTTGATGACCAAAATGTGTCAGTGTCATTTTGACATGGAACACTGATGACAGTTGATGTTGATATTTTGCTGGTTTTAAGTTGTGTCATTAAGTGTTACATCGGCCCCTGGAATGACGTCACAGTAGCCGTCTTCCTCCCTCTCCCTTCTCTCTTTCTGTGTGTGTGTGTGTATGTGTCTGCAGGTATGCCGGAGTCAGGGCGGAGCCACCAGGTGCACCTCATTGCCATAATCAAGACCTCTTCTTATACTCAGCTCTGCCATCTCCACCCTGCCAGATCGTAATCTCTACATAGTTAGTGTTACGCTCAAGCCTTGAATTTGCGCTCTGTTTTTTGAAAGTTTTTTCCCGTGACTAATTTTTGCTCCTGTGTGTCTTCAGTCTCACCGCTCCTGACTCCGGCCCTGCCTCCTCATCCCCACTGGAATTACCCAAACCGCTCAGCCATCATTATACCTCTTTGTCCCTGACCACGCTCTCCCTCTGGATCCGCTCCCCAACCTGCTGCCCTACCTCCAACCCCTGTATCCCCGGCTCTACAATAAATACAATTATCTGATTCCTGACTCCCGCTCGTGTCTGCATTTGGGTTCACTTACTATTGCCCTTAACATTAAGTCAGCAAAATTCAACGTCTTCCAGACATCTCATGCCAACGTCATCTTGACGTAGAGTAATGATATATAGGTGAGGTATGGAGAACAAAACCCAACGTCTGCAAAACGTCATAATGTTAACGTCCACACAATGTGAAATTCTAATGTCCTTAGAAATATAAAAAAAATTGTGTGAACCTGATTTTTTCCCAATCTAAATTTAACATCTTACCTGATGAACTGTTTGGGCAGTGACTTGTGGCGTCAGACACTGACGAATAAAGACATCCCTTAACGTCATCATGATACATGCCGGTGTCAGGTGGAAACATGGCAGGACAAGAACGAAAGTTAAGGTGGTGAAATTCCGAGTGTGGCGGGTGGGTTCAACAAACACTGACTTTCACCCAGGAGAGTGGTGTTCACGTCCCGTAAGATCAGAAAGCCAAACCCTACACTTTTTTCCTAAATCCAACCACGTGTTTTTGTTGTTTGGGTAAAAAAAAGAAACGTCGGTTCTTGTTGTTGTATGGACGTAGTGCTTTAATTTTCAAAGAGACTGTATTTAAATGTTAAAATTTCCTGTGAAAACGAAAGTGCATTTCGAAGACGACAATACATGTAACAGGCAGAACTTGACACGGTGTCCCAGAACGTCAACAACCAACGTACCCAGGGTACCTTGCACGTCGTATGTGGACGTGGAAAGTCCATGACCAAGTATGTCAACATGTGACGAGGTCGGAGTGACAATGTGTTGCATTTTGACGTCCAGTGCCAGAAGGAGACAAAGTCCAAATAATGAGACAGATTTATTGATTCATAGTTTTGTTAATGAATCATAAATTAAACTATGTCTCACAAAGTCAAGACGAGGAAATAGCTAGAGTTGTTTTCAGATTCTAATTTGCAAATAAGGCTGTAATTAACAGTTTTGATAATCAGTTGATTAATACTTTGACCAATTTTGAAGACAATAAAAAAACGTCTTCAAAATGGCTTGTTTTGTCTGACCAACATACGTTTTCAGTCGGACTAACATGTTTACATGTATTTTAAAAGTCCGGTTTTAGTTGGACTAAACACTGTGAGAGAAGTTTTTTCATACAGAGAATGTTTTGAAGCTGGCATTGTGAACAAAGGCTTATCCATGGATAAATTAAATTGCAGTTGGTGCATTCAGTCTGTTTATTCCTGTGTCAGTCCACTTTACTGAACATGATTTTTATGAATTTAAATGCTAGATTTCCTTTTTAGTGTCTTATTGAGTTAATATCAATATCTGGTCTAAATTTCATGTGAATAGCTGCATTGGAAATATGCGTAATAAAAAAAATGTGACTTGCTGAGTACTTGTTTCCCCTGTATGTCAAAAAGAATTAGCAAATTAATGCATTTGGTTTTTACACAGCGTCCCGTCGTTTTTGGAATCTGGGTTGAATGACAATAAGTCAGACTTATGAAATTGTATCTCATGATTATGATTTAGTGAGTAAAGTGAAGCACATGGTACCAGCTCTCGCTCTCCTTTTCTTCTTGCCGCTGCAGCGTTTGTTGTTGTTGGGTGTCTCTTGGTTTGTCTGAGGCCTCAGAGGGTCCGAGGAGAAAGGGGAGAGGGGTGAGTCATGTCCTGGGTCTGAGTTTGCATCAGGGTCGGTGTTGGATAGCAGGCTAGCAAGGGTCAAGGCATGAGGACCAGCCCCTATTATTAACACATCGAGTATCACCATCTGAAACACACACACACACACACACACACGGAGACAATAGACAGAGAAAGGATAGTGTTATACACATACAGTCAGGAACAAGGGTGGGACAGGTTGTAGTACTTTCAAAGCCTGTTTTGTAACCAGAGTCACTTCCTTAAACTGTCAAATGTCACACTCAATGGTGGTTTACTCTGATACATCAGTGGATAGTTTACGTGTGTTTAGTACTTTCATTTCAAGTTTTTTTTTATTCACATTAAGCAAAGAACATTAGGAGGCAGCTTTAATTATGATGCACATTTTTGTTTCTATAAAACATTCACATGGCTAAATCCCAGTTTCCAAAACTCAAAACTAAAGATTTCAGTTTTAAACACCGCAACTTGAGCAAACTTCATCTGATTTCAGCTGTTTGTCATCTCACATTCACACCAGTATTAATCAAGTGCACTGTAGAGGTCAACATTACTCAACAACCTCAGCTGCTACAATGATGAAACAGACACGCACATCATGAAGAATCTTACGTACTGTATATACAGTGTATGTTCAGTGTGTGACAGTACCTGGTTGAGTTGAGATTGGTGCCAGCTTCAGTGGATGGTGGTAGACCTGAAGTTTTGTGACAGTGGCGTGTGCTTCTCATGTAACTCAATCCACCTCAGTGCCTACAGATTTAGCCGGACTTCACTGGCTCAACGGGGAAAGCTTGAAATAGCTTCAGAGTGTGTGTGTGTGTGTGTGTGTGTGTGTGTGTGTGTGTGTATACATGTGTTTGTTTGTGTGTGTGCTTGTATAAATTTAGTAACACAACTCATCCAAGAGTAAAAAGCAGTAAAGGTGTTTCACTAGCAGATATGTTTATGATTGTATACACACAGACTTCTGTAACATAAGCATCTTTTATTTACGCTGGTAAAAGTCTCATTGAGATTAAAATATCTTTTCAAGAGTCTGCAAGGAGGAGAAAGGAGTTTAAATAACATCTAGTTGGAGAAGTAGTTCCACATATTTAGAAATGTTGATTTAACACCTAAAAACCATGCACATGTTACATATTCATAGTTTTCAGAAACTTGCGTATAATGCAAACATATTCTTCTGGTGACCGGGCTGACACTGGATTGTTCCTGAGTTTCATGGTAACATGGACTGGACCAAGTATTACACATCATTTTGCCTCCTCCGTAGTGGTGTGATTACACAGGACTGTATGTGACAACAGACATACTTTATAAAGCTGAACCACCGTAAGCCACTCTAAGTTTGGTACTTCTGTGCCCATGTATACGAGCTGTACTAAGACGTCTGACTTCAGATATGTGTGTTTAATATGCAAGTAAAGACAACGGACTCTTGTGGAGTTATTTTACTCATCTAAGTGAAAACACATCACAATATTCACAATCCATCCATTCATTTTCATCAGCTTGGCCAAGCAAAGCACCCCAGACGTCCCTTTACCCAGCAATGCTTTCCAGCTCCTCCTGAGGGCTAGGGGCGTCACTAGACCTAAGACTGTACTGGGGCACAGCTGGGGCACAGAGAATACATGCGAGTGCGCCAAGCCCGCAAGCAAAATTTTTTTTAGCACTTATTTATAATAAAAAAGCTTAAATAGTGCTTTAAACTATACAATCAGATCAGATTATGTTGTTGACTGGATCTTTGATTAACCACCTGAATGAACTGATGCATTTGGCCTACTTGTGCACTTGCAAAATTGAATTTGGGGCGACAAAACCAGATACTTTTAGCCATTTTTCTGGTAACAAAACCGGATATCTTTAGTCATTTTTACTGGTGACAAAACCAGATATTTTTAGCCATTTTTCTGGTAACAAAACCGGATATTTTTAGCCATTTTTCTGGTGACAAAACCAGATATTTTTGGCCATTTTTCTGGTGACAAAACCACATATTTTTGGCCATTTTTCTGGTACCAAAACCGGATATTTTTAGCCATTTTTCTGATGACAAAACAATATAAGAACCATGATGGTGGAACATTCTGTCACTTCACAGTTGTCCAAAACATGTGGTTTGTGCCAGGTTGACATTTTTGCCAGTTTTTTTTAATTATTGCAAGAAATTCCATTGACTCATTCACAAGTCAAAAATGTGTTTTATCTGAAAGAAACATGCAATATTTACATCTAAGATCATAGAAAAATAGTCAACCAAGTGCAATGATGTCCTCCAAGATAATATTTGTTTTTCAGTTTCAGTTATATATTCGGGGGGCATTTTGGGCATTGGGGGGGACACATGTCCCCCTCGATGTACAGGGTGACTACGGCCCTGTCATGCATGCATAACTAGGCAACAGTTGTCTGGGTGCGCAAAGGTGAAGTGCGCTGGTTTTGTCATACGAAGTTTGATGGAGTGTCAACTGGACAATATGGAGATATTTGCATCTTGAAAGCCGGACTACAAATGTGGATAGACAGGGAGAAACACACGCAAGCCTAAGACGTAGTAAGATACGATATTCCTCACTATATGAAGTGACTGATAACAAGATCTGTATAATGGATTATAAAGAAATTTGTCAGGTTTTTATTTTGTAGACACTTGATCTGTATTTATAGCGTGATGGGATGGCAGCACAATGATGTGTGTGGTATCACATGAACGCTCTGCTCCTGCACTTTCATGTGATATGCTTGGCATTTCTGTGCGAGCATGCATTCGCGAGTAATCCATCCAAGAGTAATGTGTGTGCAAAGCTGTATGAAAGCTCTGTTATACATAATTTTAGTTTAACTTTATCATTTTTTTTCGCTGTAAAAGCATTGGACTACCGACAAGTGCTTGGTCTTGTCGGAAAGCTATGATTCCGCTGTTTCACGTGATATGCGTGGCTTCTCGCTATGATGCACGGTTGCGGAGAAAATCCATAGAGAAGAACAGGTGTGAATTTGGACGCACTATGCATTGTTCTGGCCCGTAGCCATGCGCGCACTGTGTACGAGGAGTGAATGGAGTAGCGCATGCATGAATTACCATATATATACTGTGTATGCTATGTGGAGTTAAAACTCTGAAGTGAATTTTTTACTGGTGAAATTTTTACTGGGGCACTGCAGATCAATACTAGGGCAGGTGCCCCAGTAAAATCTGTCTGGCGACGCTGATGCTGAGGGCCCCTGAGGCATTCCCAGGCCAGATGAGATATTTAATCCCTCAAGCATGTCCTGGGTCTGCCCCGGGGGCTCCTGCCAGTGGGACGTGCCCATAACACCTCTAACAGGAGGCATCCTGATCAGATGCCTGAACCACCTCAACTGACCTCTTTCGACACAAAGGAGCAGCGGCTCTACTCCGAGCTCCCTCCGAATGTCCGAGCTCCTCACCCTATCTCTAAGGCTGAGCCCAGCCACCCCACGGAGGAAACTCATTTTGGCAGCTTGTATTCGCAATCTCATTCTTTTGGTCATTACCCAGAGCTCATGACCATAGGTGAGGGTTGGGACGTAGATGGACCAGTAAATCGAAAGCTTCGCCTTCTGGCTCAGCTCCCTCTACACCACAACAATGTGTAGTGCTCACATCACTGCAGATACCGTACCAAACTGCAGATCCATCTCGTACTCACTCGTATTCTACCCTCACACGTGAACAAGACCCCAAAACACTAGAACTCCCTCGCTTGAGGCAGTAACTGTCTCCCAACCCAGAGGGAGCAATCCACCGTCTTCTGGCAGAGAGCCATGACCTCAAATTTGGCTTCACACTCGGCTGCAGTGCATGCTGGAGGTCACAGTGTGATGAAGCCAACAGAACCACATCATCTGCAAAAACACAATTCTGAGCTTCCCAAACCAGACCCTTTCCTCCCCCTGGCTGCACCTCAAGATCCTGTCCATGAAAATCAGAAACAGGATCAGTGACATGGGACAGCCCTGGTGGAGGGCAACACCTACTGAGAAAGCATTTGACTGTACGCCAAGTATGCGGATGTTGCTCTCACTTTGGTCAAACAGGGACCGGATGGCTTGTAGCAGAGACACCAGTACCCTGTAATCCCGCAATACCCCCCACAAGACTCCCCAAGGGATGCAGTTGCAAGTCTTATCCAAGTCCACAAAACACATGCTGAGTGGGTGGGCAGAATCCCATGACCTCAGGTAAAGAGCTGGACCACTGTTTGGCCATGTTTACCTTTCAATAAAATACCACCCTGACATAACGTGAAGCAAAAACACAACAAACTGAGCATCCCAGTTTGTGAACAACCGTTACTTTTCTCTTCCGTTTCTGGCTGGATACATCAGACACACATAGTATCACATTTTTATTGTTTACTCTTGACTACAGTTATCTACTGTCACAGAGGAAGTCAGATTCTTCCAGTAGTTCCCATGTCTGATGTGGCAAACTAAAAGAGACGGTTGTCCTTTCCTCTTCTCTCTGTTCAGCGTTTTGTGTCTTTATGCTAATTTTTGACAGTAAGTGTGGTAGCTGTCAGGTTATTGGAGGGCTACTGATAATAATAAAGGAAGTGAACAAGCAGTAAAGGAATAAAAAGGCGTTTCATATGACTTGTTAACTGCTCTATGCCACACAGTACAGGATGGTGTATGTCAGAGTAAGATGACCTTCATTAGTGAGACCTCTGCTGCTGTTAGAAAAATCTGCATCAACAATAAAATAACTTCACTGATTACGTCTTACCTTTTTCTCAAGTTCTGTTTTCTAATAAAATTCATACACCCTTTCCCCTTTTCATTTAAGATTTACTCATCTTCATTAACTTCCCCTTCTGACATCAGTTCCACATCCATGGTCGCGTCGGTGGCCCTTCGTTCCCACTTCCCTTTCTGGTCATACAAAGCAGAAGCACAAACGCACTTTAAAAGACTGGCACTGTCACTGGTGTAAGTCTTTGACATTATCAGGAACAGACGCTGTCGGCACCATGGACCTGCAGGTGGGTGACACAATCTTTGAACACTGAACACCACTAGATACACTGAGATCAGATGCATTTCATGATTGTATATATTGGTTGGTGTTAAATTTGTTAATTCATTCCCAAACGTCAGGATTCTCGGGTTAAGGGGGGCGTGCTGATTGTCCACCAGATCCATGACGGAAAACACCAGTATGAAGTGGAGAATGTGGTGAAGTACAAAAAAGAGATTGGAGAAAAGATGTTTGTCAGGTATGAATCAGATACACTGTTCCACAGATGCTTTATTTTTGACTAATATAACCAAACTTTTTTTTCAGAGTCTCTCACCAAACCTCTATTTATTGTATCATACTATTTTAAGAATAAATACAAATAAGAGGTATTTTAATTGTGTGGCACATTTCAAGCACTGACCACAAAGTGTTTTACTTTGTAAATGTAAAGTAGAAATGCATTAACAAATGAACAAATAGTAAGATACATTACAGACACCATGAGAACGAAGGCATTAAAAGGTTTAACAAAATGTAATTTTTGACAAAAGGCATTGAAAGAACATTAAACAAAAATAAATGAGGTGCAATTTTTTACATGTAAAGTTTATAAAAACCTGTTAAATAATTAAAATTTAAACTCTGATATAAGAGGAAATTTAAAAATAAACTCTAGCAGGTAAGAAGAATAAATAAGGCAAAAAAAAAAAAAATTCCATGATTTAAAGTTCAGACAGAAGAACAAACACTAATAATACA